GCCTCCCGCCGCGCCGTTCCGGGAAGTCCCGGAAAACGCCGGGAACGGGGCCTGGGGAGGGGAGCGGGGGTCCCTGCCCGCCCCCCGCCGGGGCGATGCTCGGGCCGGGGCCTCGTTTTCTGCATCCCGCGCCCCAAAAGTTGCACTTCCCCTTTAATAACTTCCCCGCAGCATCGGCTAAAAAAAGGAGGAAATCACCAGGGTTTCTCCTCTCCCGCATCCTCTCTGCTTTGTCACCCTTCTGGCACCCAAAAAGTGTCACAGTGCCCCCCCCCCTTTGGGGACCACCACCTGCTCCTCCCAGCCTCACAGATGGGGTTGTAGAAAAGCCTCTGCCTCCTCTTTGTGAGGATTAAAGGTAAATATGATGTTACTAGCTGAAGAGTTTAAGGAAAGACCAAGCAGGATTGCTCCAGCTTGGTTTAACTCTGTTGGGCAGGGCTGTTGTCTTCCTTTAAGGCAGGTGGGGGAGATAATCAGGCTCATATGGAAGCAATTAAAATAATGGTTATGTTGATGTAAAACACGGGATTTGTGACTCACCTCAGGACTACGAACAAGCAGGAGGAAGAGCTTTGCCAAGACCTGGCCCAGGTCACTACATGGCCTTGGCTCCAAGCAGCGTGGATGGTGCTCAGTGAAGCTCTAGGTTTGGGAAGGATGGAGTGGGAGCTCCAGCCATCATGAAGCTCCAGGTTTGGAAAGGGTGGAGCTGGAGTCCCAACCACTACTAAAGTGAAAGCTGGCCCAGGAAAAGCAAGCAAAGCTCCAGGGCTTCACCACAACGTGCAGGTGCAAGGCAGGCATCTCCCATCTGCTGCTCCTGCAGCCAGGAAAACCAGCAGCCTGGGAATGCTTGTTAAAACTAAGCCCATAGCAAACTCCTGTTTACTTTACCTGGCCCTTCTCCTTTGAGCAGGGGCACTTTGCAAGTCCCTCAAGAGCAGCCAGCAATTTAAATCAGGAGGAGTAAAAAGAGCAGTTAGCAGCTTAAATCAGGAGGTGTAAAAGCTTTATTGAGCTGAACTTCAGACCAGGAAATAGTAAAAGATTCTTTACACACCCTCGAAATGACTCCAAAACAAGGAGGTCTCCCGAGCTGACGACAAAAGCAAAAATCACACTGTTCTCTGCCCCAGCATTTCAGAGGGAAGAGCTGCCTCAAAAGGCAACCTCCTGGTCTGGGAGACTGAGGTACGTGGGGGAGTGAGGGGAGCCTCTGTAATAACTACGGGGTTCTGTTGTGACCAAATGTAGGTTTCCCATCAGTTATTTGAACAGGAACCTATGCAAAGAAAGTATTTTTATTCATTCTGCTTCTGTGTTCATTTCCAGAAGAGGGAGACAAGTCCTGGCCCACTGCAGCTGAGATCAAAATCATTGTTCAATGTGTGATGAGGGCTTAGGAGAATTAGGGGTGTCTCTCCCCTTATCCTTATAAAGGGTAGAGGTGTTTGGAATTAATTAATTCTGTGTGGGAGAGGAGATGAATGCTGATGTAACTACAAAAGTTAAAGCATGAAATAAACTCAAAAGTCAACACTCAGATCTTGGGCACGATACAGTAACCTAAGACAGGGAAAACTGATTAGCTAACATGGCTATGTTATAGTCCCATTACTGGGGCTGTAAGCATTGATACTAGCTACCCCTTTGGCTATCAGCTTGCTCAGCTTCCCTATCAAATCATAATTTTAGTATGGTTTACAACGTTTTCTGTAGTTGTACTCCTCCCATTCCCCTCCTTACGCCACTCAACATCGCTTCAAGAAATGGCTGCTTTGCCTTGTTTGCTTCTCACATAAGAAAGTTTCACATTCAAAATTAGGTGTGTTTAAAAACTGTGTTTGAGTGTGAAGGTAACAGCCAACTTGCAGCATCTACCACATGCACATAAATAAGTCTAAAATGTAAAAACACAGAAATTGTTCCTTTCACTACTGCATACTTTTCTGAAAGCAAATCTCTCGTTGAGCTGACTAAAATGGCAAATGGAGTCAATTCAAGAGACAGTCACTAACTTAAGAAAATAATCTTACGTGAGAACACAATCGGCTTGATATTTTCATATGCTCAGCTTTATCTGCCAAAAGATTAAATCAAACAAAAGATTATTGTGCTAATACAAATATTACCTATCCCTGCGATTTATCCACAGTATGAGAGTGATTATATTATTTAAAGATTTTGTTAAGCAACAATCAAGAACAAATGCTGTGTTTTTGAGGGGAGTGGAGGGAGAAATAGCCTCTCACTCCCAGCTGCTGCAGTTGTGCAGAAGATCCAACTGTTGTCTCCTAAAGGGACAGCGTGGTTGTAGTTTGAGAACTTTTGTGGCAGGAACATACACTAACCAGTAGTGTTGCTTCTAAATACAGTAGAGGTCTGCTAGACAGCTTCAGGCCCATCTCAACTCGGGTAAACCATGGACAGAGTTAAGGCAAAATTATCCTTTTTTAGATAAGGGTCTGCAGGATGCTTCCAGCTACTGCTGACAGCAGGAGGCCCAGGAAGATGAGACACACAGGGATCACGCTCCAACTCAATTTAATAAGCTGTGTAACGAACTTGGACAGAAAGAGGTTTGAAGCAAGTCGAATAACACTCATCTACTAGTCAAGGATGTTTTAAAGGAATGCTTTTAAGCTTATACTCAAGCATACAAAGCATAAATTTTACAAATTAAAAGCAATAAAATCATCCTAGAATATTGTAATGGCTTCCCCTATACGTACAAGGAGTAGAAAGAAGACAAAATTATTTCCAGGCAACTTCACACATTTTTAATGCTACACAAGTGCTCTCCACATCCATTTCAATTTTGCTGT